GATAGCAGAAACCGTAGTGATGTCTACTTATGGAGCCTTAAAATTTCTAATAAGTTGGAGAAAACCCATTTATGTACTCGGACTTGGTTACGATTCGTCAACAGATGATTTCAAAGTGGTTAGGGTTTGTTCTAAGGATGTCGAAAGGCTTCTTGATTTTTAAAAAGCAATGTTTCGGTTTTACGGTTTGAGGGGAAATTCTTGGAAAAGTTTGGAAATGTCACATATATTTTCATGGTCGACCTTGGAGTCGTCTTCTGACCAGTTATGGACTATTTCAAATTTCCATTGTCCTGTTGTTGTGAACAGGTTTATCCATTGGAGACTGCTTTCAGAAAGAGGTAATAATGAAGGATATTTTAACTCGATCGTTTTGTTTGATCTGAGCACTGAGGTTTTAACCTGATTAATTTTCCCGATTCAGTGATTTATAGCGAAATCTGTATCGGTAAACCTTTCTGAACGTCTTACTTTAGTTATCAATAATTACAGACAAGTGAAGTTCGATTTGAATGACTACCCAGAATCGGATGCTCTAGACCCTTATTGCTCTCTTCCAATAGTTATTGCGAATAATGGTAATGTGCTGATTTTGTCATCAAGCGACCATTTGTTTTGGTATGATTTGGCGAGTCGCAAAGTAAAATATTTGTGTCCTTCGATTGGCGATTTTTGTTTTGGTTATACATATGTTAAGAGCACCATTCATATTTAGGATGTCTTTTAGGTTAAAAAAAAAAGGAGGGAAAAACCTGGCAGATTCCTTATTAACAAAGTTACAATGCATGCTTAACAAAGCTTCTCTTTCATGGCAAGGGCCAAGTACACGCAAGAAGATATATATCGTTCGAGGAATTGTTTGTATTTACAATTTAAATCTTCTTTTTTTTTTTGTTATGAAATATCAAATTTTTGTTGTAATTTTCTGTTTAACTTGTAAACCAAACGGTATATAGATAGACACAACTTCTTATGATATAACAACATGAAAGAATATGAAAGATCGTTTGAACTATTGACCGACAAAGAACAAGACACGTTGCTTTTTCTTGTATTTTTCTAAAACAGGAAACCACATACCGTTCTACTGAACAATGAACGGCATGTCACTCATTTGTACTCTAAACGACATGACGCTTATATATATATATATATATATATATATTAAGAAACAAAACTACACATTCTCTTTTATAAACTAATAAACGACAAGTTATCTCCTTTCCTACTTCAATCTCTCTCTGTTTGTCTACATTTTCCAGTTTGTTTGATATAAGGATTTAAATTAGAGTAATTCTAATTATGATTCTAAAATCAGATTCATAATTCATGATTTTAGGTTTAAATCATGATTTTGAAACCATGATTTAGGATCAGAGGTTTGAATCACCTTGAATCAAGAGGATAGTGGTTTTAGAATTGTGATTTGAGCTAGTTTAAAACATCACATCAGATTCTGAATCATGATTCAAAATCATCCAAACCAAACACTGATTCAGAATCACTGTAAATAAACACTAATTTTGAATCAGGATCTAAAATCATGATTTTAAATCTATCTACTAAATGCACCCTAACATTTCAGGCTCTTGAGCTTTAAGTATATGAAGTTGTGAGTGTCGTTTGATATCATCTGTAATGTACATCTATCTTCGGATTCTCCACTTATTGCAAGAGGGATTGAAAAAAAAAAAAACTGCTACAACTTTATTTTACTCATTTAAAACTCTATCATTCCAATTAGTGATGAGAAAAGGAATTATTTATCTAGTTTTGCTTACTTAGCAGTTGAGTTGTAAAGACACGAGTTCTTACCAACTCTGTGCACCTTATCTGAATTAAAAATGGAAATTGTGGGAAATTGATATAAAAAAAGGAGAAGTTTGCCTCCAAGCTAATAAAAAAACAATAATATAATGCCACTTATCCAAAAAAAATAAAAATAAAAAAATTAAACCAAAAGAAAAAAATTAAACAAAACATAAGGAGATAAGCAACAACTAGTTAATTACGTAAATGAGGGGTGCAATTGCGCAAGTGCCTATTTGTTTTTTTTTTTTTTTCTTTCTGTTCTTTTGTATTATTTTTCTGTCTTCTTGGTCCAAATAAATTTACCTTTAGGCCAAAAAAAAAAAAAATTGTGAACACGTTATATTTTCCTCTTCTTACTTTTTATAAAAGTAATTTCTATAGAGTAAGATTTGCCATAATGGATATACCCTTGGTAGAATATAAACCTTTACCTTTACTTCACTTGAAACGTCATGAATTTTTAGAATATAAATGGCCTTCATTGTGTTTGACATATCACTCATAAAAAAACGTGATAAACTTGTCTAAAAAGTTTATAAAAGTGTGGCCGACTGGCCGCTACCTTTCTTTTGTTAAACAATGTGCTTACAAATAAAACACCTTTTCTTCTTTTTTGATTTATTTCCTTTTTTTTTTTTTGGTCGATTTTGAATAATTTGTCCCTATCTTCTATATAAAAGGGAAGAAAAGAACTTTTATTGTACATTCCCTTCCATAAGAATGACAAATAATATTTAGACAGAAACGGACCGACCATATTTTTAATTTTAGAAATCAAATTAGAAAGCGACCTTGGCTGTCCATAACGAGTTCTCTAGCTCCTTTATCTTCACAATTCTATAAGATAATCATTTAAACCAAAGAATTAATTGGCAAGCACAAGAAAGAAAATAATAGAAAATAAAAGAAAAAAAAAAAAAATGGACCGCCCATGGTTTTCCAAAGGGGTGTTTTTTTTTTTTTTTTTTTTTTTTGAAATGGAAAGTGATGAACTTTTGAAATTGAAAAAATAAAATAAAATAAAATAGCATACGTATATATATAGCAAGGTCAAAACTGATCTCTTTTTTTGTTCTTTATTTATTTAATTTAATAAGTGATTGGATCTCCCACTCCCACATGACCCCACGTTTCCATTTGATCTCTCACTTTTATTTGAAGGGAAAGCCATATGTGCACAATTCCACAAGTCATAAATTCTGACCCATTTTATGAGTAAAGTTTAATGACATAAAAAAAATATATCATATCTTATAGTTGTTTGTATATGTCAGAATTTAATATGATTAAATCGATCATATCTAGAAAATTTTAATGTGATTAATGGCTTGCTTCTGAGACGAGCTCAAGAGTAAACGTAATATGTGATCCATGCCAATACGAGCATAATATTAAATCATAGATAGATAATTAAAGACTAAAAACATCATTACTAGAGCATTCTTTTTGTCCTTTGTTAAGACATTACTAGAGTAATGTTAGCCATACCTAAGTTTTAAATGTCGGATTGTAACATATTATTTTGCCGGATCTTTCAATCCTTCACCAAGACCAATCTAACACGCACACTTCTTAAATTATTTTTACAGAATAAAGAGAAAATGTAGAAAAATAATTATGCGTTTCCCCTTGGAGTGCAGATTGCTCGGAGATCCGATGCCACATCTGGACAGGTCGTTGGGTTCCCTGTCTTGAATTTTGGTCCTCCGACTCATCTTGTCGTGGGCTTCTCGATAGTGGTGGTTCTGTTCGGGCGGATCAAAAATAGAAAGGAGCTTGGAAGCCTCACAAGTAGGCTGCGCCTTCCAACACATTCGTAAGTGGGTGGTTGAGATCTCTTGGGGTTTTCTTTCGCATGGCGGTGGTCTTCTTTTAACTGTGACAGCGTCTACTTCCATTAACAACCACAATGGTGTGTGCTACTCACGTGCTTCTATTTTGCGGCACCTTTTCGACTCCATTACAAGCCTCTCAAAGCCAGCAGCCTTCCTTGACGATTCCCCTCTCTAGCTGCCCCTTCACTGGAGGCATTCGATGGCGGTGTATGGAGTTTATTCTTTTTGTTTATAGACCAAGTATGTGTGTAATAATAGCGTTGTTTTTGCCGATGAGTTTAATATTTCTTCCAATAACAAATGCGGTGGTTTCTCCGTCTTCCGGTCAATTGGTTTAATCTATTGACTATAGTGTTTTTTTTAAATGAGTTTTGTCCTACTCAATTTTTATGTGTGGAGTGGGCTTTTCCTCATTAGGGTGTCGGTGCTTGTGTTTGCTCAACGTGCTTCATTCATCTTCATTGATAGATTCAGTCAATAGTTGAGGTCGAATACCTTTATAATGAGTAGTCATTTGTGATTAGTTGTCTGTAACTTGTTTTTGAGAATGAAACTTCACTTAAAAAAAAAAAGAGAAAATGTCTAATTTATTATATCCCTAGTTTTACTAAATTAAGAAAAATATCTTTTTCCAAAAAAGTTAATCTTAGTAATTTGATTGATTTTTGATAAGTTATTGTTTGATTTTGGAAACTATTGATATCAATAAATTATTAGTTTAACAATGTATGTATAACAGATTAATTTTCAATTAGGCAAATAATTGGTTTATAATTTTTTTTTAAAAAAAAGGTGTTTCTTAATTTAAAAAAATCAGAATCATTTACTTCCAATATGTTTGAAAAGGTTATTTTTGTGCATGGGAATAAATATCTTGATTTTAGACAAAATCTATGTTTTTAGTAAGATATTGTTCCTATTATTATTATTATTATTGGATGAAAGATATTGTTCCTATTATATTCGAAACAAAATTGAAAGTATACTTGAAAAAAAAAAGACATTGGCACGCAAACTGATGGCAGTAGAAAATTATTAATATTGTCCACACTTTTCCAGCAAATAGAGACAAATAAAAAATAACAATTAGATTAGATAAAAAATTTACAAGAAATGGGACCTCACGACAAGATCCAGGACTCCTACAGGGTAGCTTCACTCTCTATCTCAGCTTCTCTATCAACGGTGGTCAGTCAACCACTACAAAGTCAATGTTATCATGATCAACAGTGATAGTGGCATTTCCGTAAATAATTTCAGACAGGAGGGGTAATCTGAGAACAGGAAACTGTAGTGTAGCTTTTATTTTTTGTTATCATCATTTTGTTTTGACTTGAGCTGGCTGAAGAAGAAGAAGAATTGTTTTTGGCAGGGATAGAGAAAATCGGCGACGCGTGAAAAAGCCGTCATTTTTTTTTTTTTAGCGTTTGTCTTCCAAGAAAAGAAAAAGGAAAATTACAAAATACTGGAGAAACGGAATAAAAAGCGCGAGAAAGTGAGAGAAAAAGTTGCGGAAATCTTTGAACTTGTTTTCTCAGCTGGTTCCAAACTCGCTCTTCTTCTTCTTATTTCTCCTGATGTGTTTTCTCTCTGCTTAGGTCTTCATCGAGAAGAAAAAAAGAAAGAAAACCCATTTCTCTCTCATCAGGTACTCTGGTTCTCTCTCTCTCTCTCTCTCTCTCTCTTATTTGTTTGTTGTGTTGATCTAACTATGATTTTCAAGCTAGGTTCTGGCTTTACCGTTTTTGATTCGCGAGTTATACTTTGGTGTTATTAAACCTTTTTTTTTCTTTTTTAATTTTTCGAAGCAAACAAAAAAAAAATGAACTTCTTGGTTTTTGTGGTTGTATCTTTGTTATAAATCTGTGTGCATGTGTTGTTTGTACTGTGTTATGGAACTGAAATCAGCTTCTAATCGGTTTGTGATTTTGCTTGGTTTTACAATCTATGGAAATATTAAAGTTGCAAAATTTAACAAAGGGAAACTGTATTTAGCTTAGATAAATCATCAGTAAGAAATTGTATACAGTGTAAAAATACTATTTTGGTTGTGCTACGGTTTTGTGTGTTCTTGTGGTTCAATATCCGGTTGTATTTTTGCTTTAAAGATTCTGTGAAATTAATATCAGGGTTGAGTTAATTGTTAAGCCGTTTGTTTGTATCTATAAAAAGTGCAATGTCATGATGTGAAACCATTGACAGATGTAAGTTTAGTTCGAGAATCTTTGTTGCAAAGAAACATTTTAAGAAAGTTGTGGAATATATTTAGAAAGATAAATAACCTTTTTCTTTATGGAGACAACTTTCTGTAGGAGGAAGTTGGGCATAAGCTTTAACCCAGAATAGCAACGGAAGTTAACAGTATGAATTTGAGAAATTATGGATTGATTTTGCATTTCTTCTAACATGTGTATGTATAGAAGTAAAAGAATTTACTTGGCAAAGTAGAATTTTTTTTATTTTTTTTATTTTAAACCTGTGAATGCAATTCAACTTTATTTATGGTCAGAAGTACATGTGTTTCTTGGCCAACTTATTATTATCAATATTAGTTTAATGGTTTATGTAACCACTATATTTTCTACGTGTGGAACTATTACCTTATTGGAGTTTGTTTCCTGTTTCTGTTTCTATTTTTTTGCACCAGACCAGCTTGCAACTTTTGATGGTAATTTGGAAAATATAGATGGTCTTGCCGTGGGACTTTGCAATTGGTCTTAATCCTTATGGAGTTCTTAATCCTTATTGAGTTAAGATAGATCCGGGAAAAAGCTTTGAAGAATGGTACGATGGATCAACCAAGGACAAATAAGCAGTTTCAGTACAATCCCATGGAACCTGGAAATGAGGAGTTACAGTCCTCATCTCAGACACTTATGTCTGACACTTTTAGCAGCACACATCCTAATACAAGGACCCCTAATCCAAATGTATCAGAAGTTAAACCTGGGCTTAATTTCTCTATACAGACAGGTGAGGAGTTTGCCCTTGAGTTTATGCGTGATCGAGTGAATCAGTGGAAGCCTTTGCTTCCCAATACTGTGGGTGATCCCAACTATGCAACAGGTTATATGGAACTAAAGGGTATGTTGGGTATCAGCCATACAGGGTCTGAGAGCGGGTCAGATATTTCAATGCTCACAATGGCTGAGAAAGGTCCAACACAGTTTGAGCCAAAAAGCACGTCATTGCACGAAGATAGAAGTATCTATGCATCAGTTCAATCAGTACCACGCTCGTCCTCTGCCTATGAGAGCAGTCGAGGGGTTATTCAAGGCCATGGCTCTTCTAGTGCCTCCGATAGCTCATCAATGAAGATGAAGGTTCTTTGTAGCTTTGATGGTAAAATTCTACCCAGGCCTAGTGATGGGAAGCTCAGGTATGTTGGAGGTGAAACACGAATTGTCCGTATAAGAAAAGACATTTCGTGGCAGGAACTTACCCAGAAAATTCTTTCAATTTATGACCAAACTCATGTCATTAAATATCAGCTACCTGGAGAGGATCTTGATGCCCTCGTTTCCGTCTCCTGCGATGAGGACCTGCAGAATATGATGGAAGAATGCAATGAACTAGAACGTAGAGAAAGCTCGCAAAAGCTTAGGATTTTTCTGTTCTCTATGAGTGATTTTGAGGATGCTCAGTTTGGCCTTAGTAGCGTGGATGGTGATTCTGAGGTTCATTATATGGTTGCTGTCAATGGCATGGACCTTGGTTCAAGAAGAAGCTCAATTTTGCGTAATTTGGCGAACTCCTCAGCAAATAAGTTAGATGTGTTAGGTAGACAGAACATTGAAAAAGAGAAAAATATGGCTACTGTAGGCCCAACAGAAGTGAGCAATGCAGTGTTGACAAGCAATATTGTATCATCGTTAGTTAGCCAATCTCTAGAACCAATTATACCAAGTTCCTCGAATGCTTATGAAAGTCATCCTCAGTTTTTTAATGGCCAGACGATGCATCATGGAGAAAATTTGCAATACCCGCTGCACAATGGCCATGTTACTTATAGTCATGCCCCTTTCATAGATGGTTCAGTGCAGCAAGCCAGTAACCCTGAAAAGGTCTTCCCCGCGGGGAAAGAGTACTTTGTCCCTGCACAGCCATATGATATCAACTTGGTGAATAATTTTCCAGTTGAAGATGCGCCAGTTACAGTTATTGCACCAGAAGGAGGTCTGCGCACAGTGCCTTTGAAGAATGAGATAGGGTTCCAGGATCCTAACACTGTTTCTCCATCAATTGATTCTGCAATGCCGCCACAGGTTCCTAAATTCAATGAAGAAGATCATTCTTCCGCATGCGGTACTGCATTTGCTCCTGGCTATGTTAGGTCTGACTCTAACGTAAGCGACCAGAGTTACCCTGAGCCTCCTGTGATTCCTCAAAGAGTTTACTATTCAGAAAGAATACCAAGGGAGCAGGTGGAGTTGCTGAATAGATCGTCAAAGTCTGATGATTCATATAGTTCTCCATTTCTCATATCCCAACAGGATCCAAGTAAGGATGGTTTTGAAAAAATGCGCAAAGATGGAAACTTGGCTCCCAAGATCGAGCAATCCACCTCAACATCAAATGTGATGTCTGCGGATACTCATACTGTCAATGATGGACTTGCCATACTTGAGAAGGACAAAGATTTTACTGATTCAGTTTCTCATGTGAACACAAAGCCTTTGCAGGTCGTAGATAGCATGTCAAAGCAGGCGTTACAGAATCCTGTGGATAATAAAGATGTTGCTAGAGAGGATAGTGCTCTTAGTTCAGACCCAGAAACCGTTCCCCTAAAAAATGACCATAAGGAAACACCAGATGAAAGTGTGGCAGCTACATCTGAACTTCCAGCTGGAAGTCAGATTACTTCTGTTGAGCACCATGAGGATTCTGCATCTAATAAGCCAGAGCGTGACTTTGATGTGGCCACCAGTAATGATCCCATTAGTGATGACTCTGCAGTTAATGTGCAACCTTTTCCTTGGACAGAAAGCTCCAGTAGACCTTTTCCTGAGCAGACATCTTCAACTGGCATTTCTGCATCCCGGCAGGGAGACATCCTTATTGATATTGAAGATCGATTTCCTCGTGATTTGCTTTCTGACATCTTCTCCAAAGCAATACTCTCTGAAGATTCAACTGATTTTGATTTGCTGCATAAAGATGGGGCTGGCTTGAGTCTAAACATGGAAAATCACGAACCTAAGCGGTGGTCATATTTTCAGAAATTGGCTCAAGAAGGGTTTGTTCAGAAAGATGTTTCTCTTATTGACCAGGACATTGGTTTTTCATCTGAACTTGGAAAAGATGGAGATGATGGATCTTATCCTCCTTTGGGTCGACCAGCGGATGGCATTTCACGGGAATGCCACGTAGATCAACAACCACAATTTGGTGAAACCAATCATAATGAACTAGCGGGACCAACTGCGGCTGAGTCCATTTTGCATTCAAAATATGATCATTCCCAATTGAAGGACACTGAGAGTACGCAGTTTGGTGTTATGATGGAGAACTTAAGAATACCAGAGTCAGAATATGAGGTATACTTTCGGTGAAAAATCATTTTTTAATATAATTTTCTATGCTTCTCTTTTGATAATGTTGTAATAACTTTTGTATAGGATGGGAATTTCGAAACTAGGAGTGCTGGTCTGCCTCCTCTAGATCCTTCCCTGGGAGATTTGGACATTAGTACATTGCAGGTATGATACTCGTTTCCAATTCTATTCTGCCTGCTTGAAAGTAAAATTATTGCCGTTTGTACATTTTCCAACTTGACATGATAAAAGAGTTTATTTTTCTTCAAAAATTTGGTATAGATTTGACTTTGTCTGTCTGTACCTTAATTTTAAATCAGTACTGTTGTTGAACTCCATCATATCTGGACCCCCTCCATTATTTAATGTATACTAACGATATGTATTTCCATTACTAAAAAATTATGTGTACATCTTTGCTGGGAATTTATCATTTTTCACCGTCATATTTGTTTGATTCTTCTTTCTTAATGCATATTATAGGTTATAAAGAATGAAGATCTTGAAGAGCTAAAGGAATTAGGTTCAGGTACCTTTGGGACCGTGTATCATGGAAAATGGCGGGGAACAGATGTTGCAATTAAGAGAATAAAGAAGAGTTGCTTTACTGGGAGATCATCAGAGCAAGAAAGATTGGTAATGATCTCACTACCTAAACTATGTGTCCAATTCAATGTAGAAAACAAAATTGTGAACTTTACTGTTTCTTTATTGTTAATTTTTATCATTGCTTTTGCTAGTGTTTTAGTAAAATAAGTTGTACAACATATTAGATAATACATACTCTTACCCTCAGACCATAGAATTCTGGCGGGAAGCTGACATTCTCTCAAAGCTTCACCATCCAAATGTAGTAGCATTTTATGGTGTTGTGCAAGATGGACCAGGGGGCACCTTAGCTACTGTGGCCGAGTTCATGGTTGACGGTTCTCTAAGGCATGTTTTACTTCGCAAAGATAGGTAACGCACACTAACCCTTAATTCCTCACTTGTATCTTTTTTTCCGTACTATTCTACCTATATTAGACAAAATTATTCGTATATATAGTTTGGCGGTTAGAAGTATTGGATATTTGTCTATCTGTGCAAGTTCATTGTATTCAATTTGCCTTTCTCCCACTTGCCCAAATATTTTGCTCTGTCATGCTTAACATGAACTCTGTTTGCAGGTATCTTGATCGTCGTAAGCGTCTGATAATTGCTATGGATGCAGCATTTGGAATGGAATACTTGCACTCAAAGAATATTGTGCATTTTGACTTGAAGTGTGACAACTTGCTCGTGAACTTAAAAGATCCTCTACGGCCAATTTGCAAGGTAATTTGGATGGTATTACTATTAGTCTGTTAGGTGAATGCTATTAATTTTTGTAGAGGTCATGAATCTCGGTAATAAAATGTAATAATGTCTTCCAGGTTGGTGATTTTGGACTTTCAAAAATTAAACGTAATACTTTGGTTTCGGGAGGTGTTCGGGGAACATTACCATGGATGGCGCCGGAGTTGCTGAATGGCAGCAGCAACAAGGTTTCTGAAAAGGTAAGTTTAGAAAAACTTTGAACTCAATGCAGCTTATTTGTTTGTTTATTGGGTTAGAAAGTGCAGCTTCTTTACTTATCTCCTCTGGCGTGCTCTTAAATATTTGTAACAGGTTGATGTGTTCTCCTTCGGTATTGTTTTATGGGAGATTCTCACCGGTGATGAGCCTTATGCCAACATGCATTATGGTGCAATTATAGGTCTGATTCCTTTACTATTTGTTCTATATTTTTATGTTTGAGCTAACAGTTAAATATGGTTTGCTATGTCAGAAAATGTTATACACACACACACACATATATATATGTGTGTGTTATACATATATGCATTGCTGGCTGTTCCCAGGGATCTCTCCCTTAGCCTACTCCACCCTTACCAAGTGCCTACCACCAGTTAGCTGGAACTGTTTTACAAATATGAAATATTACCCTCTATATTTCATCACTTTTGTTAAGCTCTCCTCGTCTTGTCTGTATAAAACTCATGAAAACTTCTCTGCACTTACAGGAGGCATTGTGAACAATACCTTGAGGCCAACAATTCCGAGTCATTGTGATCTGGAATGGAGAACGCTGATGGAGCAGTGTTGGGCTCCTAATCCTGCAGCCAGGCCATCCTTCACGGAGATCACAAGTCGCTTACGCATAATGTCTGCCGCAGCTAGCCAAACCAGAGGACAGGGTCAAAAGGCATCTAAATAAATTATGTTTTTTGGTTCCTTGCGCTGTTCTTTGATGACTACAGCGAAAATGGTCATTTATTCATTCAATTGTGCACAAAAGATGGTCACTAATATATATTGTACTTGCTAGAGGGGTAATTTATTTCCCAAGTTGGATCTAAAATTGGATTGTGTCTCTTTGTTTTGGTAACAATTTTTATCAGTTGCCACGTTGACAACATTGCCAGTGGATGTTACAGTAACTTCAATAGATGCAAAAGTTGCTCTTCCTAAATCCTACTAGTGCTACTCTTGTCATTTGTTTCTCATTTTCTTTCTATCATTTACGGAAATTCTAAATGCTTTCTTTTTTTTTCACTTATTTTCTTTTTCTCAATCGTCAATGTAGTTGTAAAGTAACTGCCTTTATGGTCATAGATGTAGGCTTTGTTTTTTTTGCTCGTTTGAGTTGATAATTTGAGTTAAAAAGTGAATTTATATGAGAAAAAATACTGTAACAGTAAAAGTTGAATTTAAATTTTTAATGAGAGAAAACATCTGTTGAAAAACTTCAGTGGTTATTCAAAATAACAAAGCAAAAGGGTATTTAAGTGTGCGTTTGGAAGAGAGATTTATGCCCTGGTTCGTGGCTTGCTATAGTATTTTTTCTCATAAAAAATACACGTAAAATGAGAATAATTTTGAATCATAATTTTGAATTCATGAACCAAACGTCTACTAAGTGATTGTCAAGTTGTTGGCATATGCATCCTCAGTAGCAAGAACAGTGTCTTGCTGCAGCTTTTGTGAATTGCATCAGTTTCACCAAATTGCTAAACTTATGAAATAGTTCTAAATGGATAATAGAAGAATGTGATTTATGCGAAAAATAGTCTAGTGGTATTCTAGGAATACAAGATCCAAATCAGAAATAGACTTCATTGGAAAGGTGAAAATGAAAATAGACATTTCAAGTCATGTGCTTCATTGGGCATATCAACAACATACCTCACAAGATACCAATTTATTAATTTTGAATATAAAACAACTTAAGACAATTTTTTTTTTCCCTGAAAAAGAGAAAAGAATCACACATTAGCTACAATGATATCATCCAAGACATTAGGAGGAAGGAACATTGTGAACTTGCCAAGCAGATGCCAGCAATATGGGCCTTCCTTTCCATCCAAGTAGCAGACAACCTTTCTCAGCAGCCAAAGTGTATCCATCACAGCCATACACAGACAGCATCATCCTAGCCTGGCTCAAACACTTCAACCCCATTACTTGAAACCCGGCGCGGCCTAATTGCCTTCTCCATTGGTCTACTCGTTCATGCCTCTCAATCCTACTTGATCCCTCAAAAGCCACAATGTTCCTGATCTCTTCTGCAAAGTGAAGCCTCTCTATTTTCATCCTCTGTGGGCTATTTCTTGGAAGGCTAGCCTCGAGGGAGTCAAAAATGGCGGAGTAGTAGTGAAGGGACTCGAGGAATCTCCCTAGAAAGAATGGTCCGTTGTGGTTTGCATCTTGTTCTACCACTGTAAGCAGAGTTGGGGCTAGTTTCTTCAATGCTTGGAGAATTGCCTTCAGAGAGCCTCTGCTCTCTTTGACATACTTGTGCAAGTGCGTGAAACAATTAACATACAATGCTTCCCCTTCTCTCAAATCCAAATTCTCTCTAGTTAAAAGTGACGGTGTTACCAACTCTGACAAAATGTTGAACTGTAACGGTATGCCTAGCGAGCTAGCTTCTTCCACAAGCACTTTCATGCTGGCTTCAAGCTCTATGACGAGATTGTGATCATCGACTAGTCCGGTGATTCGGAGCATTTTAGGTGGACCCTCGGGCCGTGAAGCAAGGGTTCTTATCAAGGATGGCCATTGAAGAGTGTGTTCCATCCCTAAATCAATAATGTGGAGATGGTCTTTTCCAACTGCTGCTTGACATATAGCTTCATTTGCAACCATAAAGCCAAAAGCAATGAAAGGAGTTGTTTGGTAAAGGAGTTGAAAAGCTTCCATTTTCTCCTCCTTAGTGATCAATGAAGACTCCGTATCAGCAGCCCCACCAATCATGAATGTACCATTTGTGTTGACATTTTGAAGTAGTGAAAGCCTAGAGTTTAGTCCTGTGGCAAAGCAATAAGACACCCTTTGCAAAGAATCGCCGAAAGGACTAACCAAAGCCCAGATTTGGCTCAGCATTGAGCCTGCAAGTTGGGTGTCTCTGCAGCCAACAGCCTCAGCACAAGCCAACAACATGTGTACCAAATGAAGCCCTTGGTCGACCCCATGGCTTACCTCTTCAACACTAGGCACCACATTGGAAACATTAACCCGAAAATCCTCGACCGGTGAGCCACTGATCTCCAAATTATCATCTCCTTCCAACATCATTGGAACATCTTCATAAACACCATTATTGGCCATTGAGAACATCTCCATCTCATTTCCGATTCGTTGCTCTCCAGGAGACTCAATTCCGCTGTTGTCATAATGGTCCGTGTTGATGATGCTCTCAACAAACTCATCAATCTCCGAAGCGGCCAAACAAGGAGTACTAGTTGTATCTGTTGGTGAACACAGCTCAATCTCATGGAATATCTCCTCCCACTCTCCTTGTTCCTCCTCAACTCTCGCGGGGCAGAACCTGCGAATCGCGAGATCATGATTGAAACTCATGATCTTATTTGAGGGAAAGGAAATCCAATTATCAAAATTCAAATCTTCCATAATTTTCTTTTCTTATTGCTTCTGGAGGACTCAGGGAAGATTGAAAGGAGAGGAGTTGGTGGTGGTTGAGGAAGAAGTTGCTAAGAAAGACTTTGGAAAAGTGAAAAAGAGATGATTCCTTTGTTAACGATTCAACAAGTATATTCTCCTTGTTTCTAAATGATCAAAGGTTATATATATATATATATATATATATAATATCTTAAAATATGTGATCATGATGTAAATGGCTCCTTCCAAAAGGGAAGTTACATGTGTTTAAGAATTCCAAAAGGGCCATAAATACTGGCAAATTCATTGGTGGATTACTTATTGGAGTGTACTAAGTTGGCTTCATGTGTATATCAACACATGAACCTTAATTAATGGTCGACCTTGGAAATTACTTTTATGAGCTAAAAAAATTTGATTATATTTATAATTCTGGCAATGGGTAAGCAACATTGTTTCCTTCTAGCAAGACATGCCTGGGAATTTATATAGGATATGCCGAAGCTCAAAAGATATTGTTAAAGGTTTCTATAATCTTACCAAAAGCCAAATAAGACTATTGGTCACATATATATTACTTTCTGATAAAATTTGGACTCATATTGAAAAGACACTATTTTGTATACATACATGCAAATACACACACATACATATTTTACTATCTAGAAATTGGGTTAACAATAAAGGTTTTTGTTTATTATAAAAAATGAAAAAAAAAATCTAGAAATTGGGTTAACATTCAACAAAGCTCGGTTACAGCAAATTTTCAATTGAATGCCATAATTATACTCTTATCTCTAAGTGTGCATTTCATGGAAAATTTTGCCCTTTTAGTTTTTCTCGAGTAACCTTATAAGTTATTATGCACATATAACGCCATTTTTTAACCCCTAAAAAAAATGATATTATTTTAAACATAGCTAAACAGATGGGTAATAAAGACAATGTGCAATTAGGTGAAAATAAGCACAAAAGACATATGATTGGTTGGCCATATATAGAAAGATTAAGAATTTCTTATAGTATTTTATTCAAGAAAGTTAAACTAAAGAATCTTATACAATTAATGCAAAAATAGCCGGCTTTGAAGAAAAACAGATTTTTTGCCGGTAATCTCAACAGTATATCAACGTCGGTGAAAACATATTTTCATTGGTGTTATGCGTTTGTCACAAGTTATCCTCACTTTGGTCGGCCAACAAGCAATGCGACATAGCAGGTGGCCTAAGCCTGGCCTATGCCATGCACATTCAAATTTTGACTTTTTAAATAATTGTAAGGTTTTTATGAGCTTAGTTACTTTAGCACACAAAATTCTTCAAACCTTAATCATGTTTCTGCAAACCCATTATTGTTTCTTCTTCATATTTCAAAACCATATTATAGAAAGCAATTCAAGTTCTTGTGTAAAAATCTTCATTTTTTTTTGTTGTAATTAGGAGAATTTGTTTAGCACATTTCGAAAATTATGATTTTGTGTTGGGCATATACTTGGGAATAGAAGAGAAAAAGAAAAACTTGGGTACTTTTTTTTTTTTTTTTTTTTGGCTCAGTTGTCAAAATTCTGTTCCACCAAGTCATAAATTAGGTGGCTACAGTTGGAAGTTTGGTGTTCATTCTAATTAGTTTGAATAAGAGCTTAACATGGCCATCTTGTGTGAGAATTAGTACAAAAGATGCATAAATCAGACAAGTATCATTTAATACTTGAGAGCTAGTAAATCTAATTACATAGTGAACGAATAGGTTAATCAAAATTTTAGTTAAAAATTGTTACGTATGGCAGGTGCTTCAACAATGTTTCACAAGTAATTAATTGCAATGTTAGTAACAATGCTGAATGATATGTTTGTCTTATCTGAATATTTATTTTATCTGAATTGTCTATTATTATTATTATTATTATTATTATTATTATTAATTAATTAATTAATTAATTAACTTTATCTTAAAGTCAGATACAGGACCAATCTTTAAAAGATGGCAAAATATGATTTGTCACTTGTAACGGTCCATAATTGACAAATAAATGATACCCTTTTGTCATGTGACGTGTTGAATGCAATACTTGCCTCCACCACTAAATAGAACAGAATGTTTGAAAAATTATACTCATACTTAAAGATTTGTTATCATTTTATATACTATCATTAAAGTAAAAAAGTTTACACTAATGCATCGTTTACTTTATGGATTCGAGTTTTTAATTCGAGTTTATGTGACATTTTTTTAGATTTTTTTACAGTAACAGAAAAAGTTAAATGTGATATTTTTTGAGAATTTTTTACTGTAAAAATCTAAAACTGAAAACTCAAATCGGTAAAATAAATGAGCCCTAAGACCACGAAAAATTATATAATGGCTGCAATAATCCTCAAATAAAACCAAAATTTCCTAGGTATTATACATTACTTCACCAAAAATATTAAGCACTCGAACATGATTGAAATGTTATACAAAAAAAGAGAGAGAGAGAGAGAAACTTCAAGGTCTATTCTTAGAGCAATGATACACATTATATGTATAAATTATTACGCGTGTTGCGAATGTACTGTATATATCAAACTCAAACTCGTATAGATTTGATAATTGATAGAGCTGAAATTATTTGTCTAAATTTTTTTTACCTTATTAAAGTTATATTTTAGTTGATTTATCATGTGTAATAATTTTTTTTCATGATGTACCATTTTTCATATTTTAATTTCAAACATTTGACATCACACTACTGTGTTTAGTTGGTGAATTTGTGTCATGATTCGGATCATGAATCGTAGCTCGCTATAGTATTTTTTCTCACAAAAAATACACATAAATCTAAAATAATTGTGAATCATAATTTTGAATCCATCAACCAAACGTTATTAAAGCTGATCAGATAAAAAATTAAGAACAAGTTTAGGGGTGTAATTACAATTTCTTCATTTTTTGTGTTTTCTCATAGAGCAATGTTGTAGAGCATTAATACAATATTAAGCATCACCATCTAATAAAAAATACATTTTATAATGTGAAATTTATAAATAGAGCTCGTTTTTTATTAAATAGTGGTGTTTAGCGCTGTGCTGTCTTGAGCATTTTTCTTCGTCGTGCGTCACGGTCGTTTACGTGAACATCTTTCTCTACCAGACAGCCAGTAGAATTCCGACACGTAGATGCCGTGAAAATCCCTGCTTTTTCTTCAGGTTTCTCGGTGCTCGACACGTGTCGCCGTATAGATGCCCCGACAGAGTTCTCTCTCTCTAGTTCACCACATTTCAAACTCCCTCTGTCCCTCGCTTTTAACTCTCTCAGTCTCTCTCTTAAAACCCCCTTCTCTCTCTAGCTTTCTCTCTCTTAGGGTTTCTCCCCCAGTGAAGAAGATTCAACTGAACTTTTCCGGTAAGGATTTCTCTTTAGGCTTTTGTTAGTGTATTTCAAGTTTCAACTGTTTCATGGTTCGATCCTTTTGTTGAGCTTTTTCCTTTACAAATTCATCTGCAAATTGTTCAGCAAAAGAGGTTTTTTTTTTTTTTTTCAAGAAAAAATAAATTTTTTTAAGGTAAAAAATAATGTTTCTATGATGATTAAAGTGTCAAACTCTGATCTTTCCTGAATTGTCTCCTCTGCTTTTTTCTTAGCAACCAAACAGCGCATTAGGGTTTATGCTAGAGTAAAATGTAATCATGCAAATGTTAGTCGTTACTAGCAGGAAAATGGGATTGCATGCATGGAAAAGTGGAAGAAATTCTAGATTTTTCTTTTTATTCTCTGCTTAACTCTTGTTGGAAATTCAAGATTTTGTATTTTAGTTTATACTTCTTATATTTGTTCTGTTTCTATGCTGTGACAAGCTTCTATTACCTTTGCTGCTTTGCATATATCAGTTGTGGTTTTTTTTTTTTTTTTCCTTATTCAATTACTTAGTGTTAATTCTTTCCCTTAGAGGTTGAGTGAAATGTTAAAATGTTATGATTTGTTGAGTATATATGTTCTTCGATTATTGGCTGTGTGATAGTTCACTAGAAATCATAACGATATCAGTTGATATATCTTACTTGCATTGACATGTAACAATCGCCGCTTATTTACAAAAATGTATGCAGATAGGCGTTTAACTCATTAGGCATCATGACTAAGTTCTGAATGGTTAAGAGAGAAGATAGAAAATTGAGAAGCTAAAGAATCTGTACTTGGTATATGTAAAGACATGAAAAGCGTAAATGCATAGCCGAGAAATGCTGGGTTACGCTAACTCGGTACTTGGATTTGCAGGTGCTTTCTTCTACTAGTTTTGTGGCTCAGCACTGTTATGAGTGTTTAGACTGGAAAGAAAGGCATATCCCAGTAGCCAAGCATGGATCAGTCAGAACAGACGCAACAACAGCAGCAACAACAGCAGCCAGTCGTTGGTATGGTAGCAGGTTATGCTCCTCAGTCCTATCAAACTGCTCCGATGGTGGCTTCTGGGGCTCCTGCTGCACCTGTCCCTTCCCAAACGCAGGCCCCCGCTACTTTCTCTAATTCCCCGCACCAGCTGGCGTACCAGCAAGCTCAGCACTTCCACCACCAGCAGCAACAGCAGCAGCAGCAGCAGCTTCAGATGTTTTGGGTCAACCAAATGCAAGAAATCGAGCAAACAGCTGATTTCAAAAACCACAGCTTGCCGCTTGCTCGGATCAAGAAGATAATGAAAGCTGATGAGGATGTTAGAATGATTTCAGCTGAGGCTCCGGTCATATTTGCAAAGGCGTGCGAAATGTTCATCTTGGAGCTGACTCTACGCTCGTGGATCCACACCGAGGAAAACAAAAGGAGGACACTACAAAAGAACGATATTGCAGCTGCCATTTCAAGGACTGATGTCTTTGACTTTTTAGTCGACATTATCCCTAGAGATGAGTTGAAAGAGGAGGGACTTGGCGTCACTAAGGCTACCCTTCCGGTGGTGGGTTCGCCTGCTGACATGCCCTACTACTATGTGCCACCACAGCATCCTGTGGGACCTACTGGGATGATCATGGGGAAGCCAGTAGATCAAGCGGCCATGTATGCAGCCCAACAGCCAAGACCACCAATGGCATTCGTGCCGTGGCCGCAAACTCAGCCTCAACAGCAGCAGCAACAACAACCGCAACAGCAAACCGACACTTGATTGTGCCCCAGGCGTTGTGACTGGTTGAGGAGCATGTTTTCTTATTGTTAGAGATGGGTTTTAGTTGTCTTGAATTTGTAGTGAATTGTTAGCTTTAGTATTAGTTGGAGTTACGAATTTGTGATAGAGAAATCTTTAGTGAGCCATGTCATTCTCGAGTGCGAGAGGTTGGCTGTATCATTTGTGGGCTTGCATTGCTTTTGTTTTCAAATTCCTCATGGGTTGATCTTTTCTTGGCCTTTTACCGACTTTTTTACTCTTT